AAATGGCATTTAAATCTATACAATAAATATCAAAAATATAAGTCTTTGTTTTACTATGGTTGCAAATATCAAAAAATTTCTATATGTGACACGGCACCAGAGTTAAGTTAGGGTTTTTCAAAATGCTGACACACCAAGCTCAAAAGGTTCGCCAGCACTGCACTAGAATCTGGAAGAGGCAGGGATGGCTTGTCCCCTTGAGCCTCCAGAGGGAGAGGGTCCTGCTAGCAACTTGATTCCAGCCCAGTGACACTGATGCTGGGCCTCTGGCCGTCAGAGCTATACAAGAATAAATCATGCTCTTTTAAGCCACCAAGATTGTGGTCATTTGTGACACCAGCAATAAAAATGGTTGCCCCTTAGATTGCTGGTCAGGGCACAGGCCAGCTTGTGGGTTTGATCTCTGGTAGGGGGCAAGCAGGAGGCAGCCAATAGATGTTTCGCTCTCACTTCAATGTTTCTCTCTCTCTCTCTAAAAATCAACAATAAAATAAAATCTTTTAACAAGTAATATATCCTTCTCTGCCCCAACCTAATTTTTTAAAGGGGCAACTTCCCAACCTATAGGTGGGGCAAATTTGGACATCGGGATGCATGTTCAAAATGAAACACATGGTTAAGAGAATGGCAGATGATGAAAAATTTCCACTTCCAAAAATGTGGAGGCTTAGGCTTGTAACCCAGAGAGACCTTCCTCCCCCAATTTATGAAAGGGCTGTGTTTGTTTGGCACAGGAAATGCAAACACACTCGGTTTTATAGTATCACCAGTACCACAGAATCAGGGAACTGGCCCCCGGGGACAGCCCTAGCAACGGGCCCAAAGCTCTGGGAATACTCAGGTTAACAGTCACGGTCTCTGCACTAAGGAGCCCACAAGCTAGTGCAGAGGCTGGCCTGCGCGCAGCCGGTGGTGGATGAATGGCAGAGCGACCAAGCACAGAGGCAGGAGGCCTTGGGCTGGTGCTTGGAAGAGCGATCAGATCTGCCAGAAGACTGAGTAGGAACAGGGCATCTGAGTCAGTGCCTATCCCAGCTGTACGTGGCCAAAGCAGGTGAAGGGGAGGAGCAGAGAGAAGCCATCTCAACCGCAGGTTGAGGCCACCCCAGCAGACATCAGCTCTGCATTTGGAAAGATAATTTGACTGAAAGCAGATTGACTGCTGGGAAGGGAATGAGTAAAACCAAAGCAAGAACTTGGTGGAGGGGCTACAGTGATTGGCCAGAGACCATGGAGGCCGGGAACAGCAGGAGGGCTAGTGAGGACAGATTTAAGGGGCCATTATTTAAGAGATAGGTTGGTAGGACTTAGTGACAGCTGGTTACAGAAGTTGAGAGAGGTCTCTAAAATAACCATCAAGCCGAAACTGGTTTGGCTCGGTGGATAGAGCGTCGGCCTGTGGACTGAGGGGTCCCAGGTTCGATTCCGGTCAAGGGCATGTACCTGGGTTGCGGGCACATCCCCAGTGGGAGATGTGCAGGAGGCAGCTGATCAATGTTTCTCTCCCGTCGATGTTTCTAACTATCTATCTCTCTCCCTTCCTCTCTGTAAAAAATCAATAAAATATATTTATAAAAAAAAAATAAATAAATAAATAAAATTAAAAAATAAAATAAAATAAAATAACCATCAAGTTCCTGGCTTCAGTAATGAGGTAGGTGGCAGCCCCGTTCAGTAGGACAGAGACTGGGAAGGAAGAACAGGTAAAGGGAAGAGCGAATGCAGACAGGAAGTGTAGCTGTGAGTTTGCTCCGTGAGCAGTGTGGGTTATCTAGATGGGGCTGTCTAACAAGAAGCTGGCTATATAAATGTTGGGACCTGTGTATAAATATACACATATGATGGCAGCGATCCTGTTCGGATGCATCTGTGTATGGAAAATATACTCATAAAAACATGTGGTGTTCCTAACATAGGCCAGGCAGAGTGCAGGGCTCAGAGCAAGCGAGAGGGATGAGAAGGTACTGGCAGGGTGGGAGGACAAAACAGTGATTTTGAGTTTCGACCTCGTATTTTTACTATATGACAACCCTGCTCACACCCAGAGTCCAGACATTTAGTAAGGACCTGAGCTTAGGATTCCCGCCCCAAGTTCCCACTTTACAAACACCACTTAGAGTTGAGCCCGTAAGTTAGTGACCTCCACTTTTAACACCTTATAAGTAACTAAAGGCTTGGTGCATGAATTCATGCACCAGTGGGGTTCCTCGGCCTGGCTGGCGATTGGGCCAATAGGGCCGTCTCACCCAGTCCTGATCTGGGAGATCAGGGCGGCCAGGGGGAGGGATCTCGGGAGGTTGGCCAGCTGTGGGAAGTTGGCTGTGGGAGCACACAGACTACCAGGGGCAGCTCCTGCATTGAGCATCTGCCCCCTCGTGGTCACTGCGCATCATAGCGACCGGTTGTTCCATCATTCGGTCACTTAGGCTTTTATATATAGAGATAGGCACATCTACCCTGCTACCTCCATAGGGTAACCGAGAACCATCAAAAACTTAAGCTACAGAATGGCATAACTTTTATTTAAAAAAAAACAAAACCCAACTGCAATATGAGAGTAGATTTCAAAAGAAAGACCTGGAGGCTGGGGGAGTAAGGAAGTTGTTGGGGTGGAAAGTGGTTATGTTATCAAAGAAACATTCAGGAGGTTGATGGACCAGACTTGGTGATAGGGGGAACACTGGAGAAAAAGAGGAGCAAAGATGGTGTCCAAGTCCCCTAGCTCAGCCGGCTGGGCTAACGTCCCAGGGATGGCTGCGACTGCATCGGGTGAGTGTAACAAGAGGGCCACGTCAGAACCTGGGGAAACCCAAAGTGTGAGGCTGGACACAGGCAGAGGGGCCAACACAGAAGGCCAAGAACCAGGGTCAGAGAAGAGGGAGAAAAATCCAGGGGAATGAGGCATCACTAAGCAAGTAGATTTGAAAAATGAATCAGTACAGAGACTCACAAATCAAAGAGGCCGACTGAAGGAGCGACAAGTTTCTGCTGGATTTAGCAGTCAAGTGCCTTGTAGTGAAATGATGAGGGCAAAAGCCCAGTCACACAGCTTAAAGTGGAGATGCCACTGTGTATCTTCCTGAGGCAGCTAGAGATATAGGTTCAGAGAGATTGCTTTTGGCACATGGTACAGTACTCGGTGAACAGGAAAACCTAGCTAATAGCTCAGGCTTTGCTGCATTGCTTTGTATTGATCTTCTTGGGCTAAACATGTGCGCTCGCCCAGCCTAAACACAGGGGACCCTAAAACCCCAGGCCCTTTAAAAGACTTAAAATCACTGCTGTGTCCTGCCTTAAGTCAAAGCCAGTTTTGAAAGTTTTAAATACTTGTAGGGGAAAAATTTTAGGAGCAAGCTTCTTCCTTTGAGACTAAGAGTACTCTTAAAATTAGTGAAACTGTAATAGAGCTGGTAATTTTGAAACAAGTTTTTAGTTTTTATTAGCCTAATGCAAAATTATTTCTTACACATACTCCTCAAACATTTCATAAATTAGCTGGGGTCATGTGCATAAATTCAACTTTAAAGAAACTAAAATTTTATTTGAAAATTAACATTTGAAGTATATCAAACAATCTGATGTTCAATTTAGCTTGTCTAGCAGACTCTTTCTTTAGAATTAGTGTTTACAGTTTGGCATTTGTTACATTAATTTTCTGGCTTTTGACTAAAAGTGAAATGAGTTTTCTGGCCCGAGCTCAGGTGGTTAGAGCATCATCCTGATACTCCAAGGTTGTGGGTTCAATCTCCCGTCAGGGCACAGACAAGAATTAAGCAATGAATGCATAAGTGAACAAATCAATGTTTTTCTCTCTCTAAAAGCTGTACTTTTTTTTTTTTAATCTTTTAAAAAAGGTGAAGTGCGTTTTCTAATTAATGGACTTGTAATATTCCTGCAGGAAAACTAAGCCTAAGAAACATGAAATTAAAATTAATATTAGAGAAAGTAAGTTAATTGCCCATTTAGCTGGATGCTACTGAAAGTGGAGGTTTTGTCGGTGAACAGCAGTGGACAAGCAGAGGCCGTCAGGCACAAGATCGGAGCAAGCACCCCGATCTGTGCCAGCAGGGCGACTCTGGGGGCCCGTTCACGCCAATTCACTCTCAGGTGGTCCTTCGTGATCAGACCCTTTCGTGGGAGGAGATGCTAGCTCTCAAGGTCAGCAGGTTCATCCGCGGCGCACTTCCACGCAAGCTTTCTGCGGGGGCGACCCGATGAGAGCCCCTACGAGCCAGGCATCGCCGGCGCCCGTGCCCACGACCCCGGTGACGCCCACCCGGGGCCCCAGCCGGCTCCTGCGCCCGCGCCTCCATTGGGGAAGCGACCTCGGAGGGGCTTGCGGAGGCGCCGCCACACGCGCTGGGCCGGGGGCGGGGCGGACGTCCGCTGCCAGCCTCCGCGGTGCGCGCGTCGCTCCGGCGCGGGGACTCACCGGGCCCACCCGCGCCGCGTCCCCGAGATGCGCGCCCCTCCCGCCGCCGCCACCCCTCGCGGCCGCCAGGAGTCTGCCTCGGGCTGGGCGAGAGCTCGGAGCGGGAGGAAGGCGGGCGCCGGGAGGACGCTAGCGGCGGTAGGAGGCGGACGCGGGCGGCCCCGGTAGAAGCCGGGCGCGGGAGGACGCGGGTGGCGCTGGCTGTCCTCCCGTCGGCCCGACGCCGCCCCGCCCCCCGCGCCGCGCACCTCCCTCGCTCCGCCCCCGAGCGCCCGGCGGCCAATCACAGCACCGCGCACGTGACGAGCGCTGCCTGCGATGACCTCATCCCTGGTGTGGGATGACGTCAAATTCAAGATGGATGGAATCACAGCGGCAGCGGCGGCTGCGGCGCGCGCGAGCCGAGTGTGAGCGGAAAGGGACCCGGCGTCTGCCTCCGGGCTGAAGACCGGTGAGTAACTGTCACGCCCCTCGCCCTAGGAGAACTGCGGGGCCCCGTGGAAGGCCACAGCCTCCCCGCAAAACGCGGCCTTTCCTGACGTAACTCTGAGGTGATTTCTCTCCTGTTTTTTCTCTCCAGTGGGTTGCGGGCTTTGGGCGCTTCTGCGCGTGCGCCGGCTCCCGTCCCTCACCGAGCATGCCCTGGGCTCCCACGTAGCCTATTGTGCCTTCACACTGCGCATGCTCCTTTCCCGCACTTGGCCTCGCCCTCGCCACTGCGCATGCTCGGTCCCTCACTGGGCTTCCCTCGCCCGGCCAGGTGGCCCTGGGGGCGGACGCGCCGGGCCTCTGAGCAAGCTGCTGCGCCGAACGGTTGGGTCGCCTTCCCGTCAAGGGCGCGTGCTCCCGTCCGGCGCAGTTGTGGCGGCGGCCACTGGCCGGTGTTTGCTGAGGGGCGCGCGAGCGTGCGCGGAAGCTGGAGGGTCAGTGGGACCCCGCACCTGCCACGGCCTACGCCCCCTCCCGCCGTCCCCTCGGGCCCCGCCGGCTTAACCGACCTGTAACCCAGGTCGACTTTGCTTTGCGCGCCCTGCCTCCTGGCCGGGCCTCCGCCAAACAAACGCCTGGACCCCGGAGCGCACTCCTTTCCCCCCTGGCCCTCGGGAAGACCTGTTTCTCTGCCTCCAACGCCCGCCGCGGAGCACAGCCCCCTCGCTGGCCACCGGCGTTGCTGCTCGGCTTGGGAAAACCCGGGTGTGAAGGCGGCCTGCGGTGGGGAAGGGGGGAGGGGAGGGGTTCAGACCGGCGGCTCCGGAGACCCGGGCCCAGAGACTTCCGTGGGCTCTAGTCCCCGTCATCTTGTGATGGGTGCTCCTACCGCCCAGGTCACTTACGGGGAACATACTCTGTAGCTCACTACAGAAGATCGTGCCTTTGACTGCAGGAGCGAGCCCCTCCGTCCTAGCCCTTACCCCGGTTACCGTGCACGCCAGCCGCGGGGCTGCGGGCCTGGCGGGGGTGGGGGGGGCCTTCTGCAGCAGCACGCTGGGAGGCCGGGTGTTTTTAGGCAGGTTTTGCAGCGGGATTGCCTGCCAGTGGGCGACGGGACAAATGCTCATCAGACTCCGCACAGTGTAGCAGCCAGGGGTTTTCCGTGCCAGAGCCAGCACTAGCATCGGAGGGCATCGGTGTATTACAGCATAGTCCAGCGATTGTTCATCATGATGACCCTGAGTCATCAGTAAGGAGCCCGCATTGTGCGCTGCTTCCCTCGTTTAAGGGGACAGGAACATGGGTTAATCCATTTTAGGAAGATTTCTCCTTGACAGTTATTTTTAAAAAACATTTCCCTCCGTGCTTGGAGCAAATTCCTCATTCATCTGGAATGACTAATCGTCCTCTGCATTTAAATTGAAGCATCCCTAAATATTGATGATAAAAAGAAAGCAGAAACTGGGGGCTTTGGTTTACTTGAAAGTAACTTTAATTCATTCTTTTAACACTATTTATTGAGTACATAGTGTGCTTCATTCTGTGGAAATATAAAAGTTGAAAAAGTTATAACCCCTGCCCTCTAGGAATTTACAGTGTTTATGCAGCGGGTATTACGTGTGTAACACAAAAGGGGCTGAGTTCCTGAGGGAGTCTCCGGGTGAAGAGATTTCTGAAGGGGCATTTGTAGATGTCCTCAAAGCCAGTGGGGATGGGAGAGCAGATCTCAGGCTGCTTGTGCAGGAGGCCTGACAGGTTCTGGGGACTAGCTAGAAAGGAAGGAGAAGAGGTTTCTGGTTTAGGAGACCTGGTGGTTGTGAGCACACCAAACTAAGTAGGAAATAGGTGAAGACAAGCAGGTATGGGGGTAGGGGCGAGAAGGTGTGGATCATACCTGCAGTCCTGGACATGGGGGCTTTCCTGTGATGGAAGTCTTCATTGGGCACCTGAGAGGCTGGAGTTCCACGGAGAAGTCCAAGCAGAGATACGGATTTCAGAGCCATTGCTCGGTGGTAAATGAAAGCCACAGGAACTCATACACACGGCAAAGAAAGCTGCCACGTGCTGAGCTCTATAGCAGATGCTGGAGCAATAAAGGTGAGCAAGTCCAGGTCTTGAGCCTTGAGTGTGATAATTTCTCTCTTTCCCCAATAGATACCTGCGAGGCGTTGTGCTAATGGTTAGGGATAACAGGCGGAAACAAGGGTTCTCCCTTTTAGGGACTCCCATGAAGGGTATCACTCGAAATAGTTGTATTATTGCAGAGAGAGGATAAGTATTGTGGTAGTTGAGATGACTGAGCTACTGGATAGGGGCAAATTACTAAAGCTGTCCAGGAACAGTGCATTTGGGCTGGGTCTTTCTGTGGAAATTGGCTGAGTAAAGAAATGGTAAGAAACCAGGTGTGCAAGTTTGTAGGGTGGATGGTAAGAAGTGTCCAATAAGCCAATAAGGGTGGAGAAATTAATTGCAACCAGAGTATGAAGAGTCCTGTATGTCAGTCCAGCATTTGGACTTTATCTAGGAAGTAATAGGAAAATCAATATAAGGGACCAGCTTTATGATAGGAAATAAAAAAGCATAATTTCCACTCCTGCACTTAATTGGAATGTCAGAGTACTGAAAAAAATCAATACTTATTGTTGTGCAAGATACAATGTTGAGCATTGATAAGAGTGTCAAAAGATATTAAGTAGATTCTCAGTCCTTAAAAGCTTACAGTTCAGTTGGGGAGACACAGATGACTAACAGTGTAAGGCACTGAATAAACACTACATCAATGATGCCACTCTGTGTAATGCAGGAGTTGAAAGGTGTTTGCTCATTATAGACTGAGTAGTCAGGGAAGGTGTATTAATTCGTTTTCTAGGGCTTCCATGACAAAGTACCACTCACTGATAGCTTAAACAACAGAAACTTATTTTCTCACAGTTCTGGAGCCTGGAAGTCCAAAATTAAGGTATAGGCAGGGTTGATTTCTCCTGAGGCCTCTCTTTGGTGCGTAGATGGCCATCTTCTCTCTGTCTTCACATCGTTGAACCTCTGTGTTTGTGTCCTCTTGTTATAAGTCAGGTTGGAGTAGGGCCCAAAGACCTTTTTAACTTAATTACCCCTTTAAAGACCTTATCTGCAAATACACTTACATTCTGAGGTACTGGGGGTTAGAACTTCAGCATATGAATTGGGGCGGGAGGACGGACTGGTCACACAATCCAGCCCATGGCAGAAGGCTTAATTGGAACTTGAGCTGAGCTTTGAAAGATAATGTTGAGCTGAGTAGAGAGCTGGGGAGGGGGCTCCATGAGGTGTAGAACATTGCGGAAGCAGGACGGTGCAGGTTGTGTCTCAGAGATGAAGTGTCTGAAGCAGGAAGTTAGCACCAGGATAACTAAGGGGGGGAAAAAATCTAAAAACTAGTTTGAAACCAAATTTACAGAACCTTGGAGCACACGTTTTTAAAATCTTGCCTTTTAGCCTAATGGAGAACCATTGTTATTATTTTGTTTTTAAACAAAGTCAAGTCTGGCTCTTTTCACTCAGGTCTTACGTCTCAGCTCAAATATCACATCAAGGCATTCCCTTGCCCTCCTCTCCAAATCGCTAGTTACTCTACTCAGTCACAGCACCCTATTTCTTTCCGTTATAACACAGCATAGTCTGAACTCATCTTTTTTGTTTCCTTGTTTATCATGTGATTTACCTCACTAGAAAGTAGGAGCCTTGTCTGTTTTGTGCACCCTTGTATTTCCGGTATATCTTACCATCTAATAGGAGCTCAGAGTGAATTAATAATGCTGATACTTAATGTGTTCAATCAATGAACGATCAAAGCTTTGTTTTGGAAAGCTCAGTCCAGCCGCAGTTTATCCATGCATTTGGAAGGGAAGACAGGAAGAATGAATAGCACATGAAATAATGTTGTTAGCATCATTTAATAACAAGAACAGGAAAAGATTGGTTGATCGGGTTGAATAGAAAAAGGAATTATAAAGATACAGGGTTGCTCTTGAGGTTTAAGGAAAAGCTAAAGAATTGGACGGAAAGAGAAAAACCATGGTATGTAACTGCAGGAATCTGTGTAGCCAGGCCCTGGCAGGCTGCACTCCCAGACCACTGCTGAATAAATCAGCTTCCATCATTTACTGCCTTTGTCGTCTCCTCAGGCCAGGTTCCAGAGAGAACGTTTCTAATCAGCTTGGCTTTGGTTATGTACTTACTCCTGAGCAAGGGAGAACAGGCATCAGACTGTACTTAGGGGGACGAGGGTAGTTCTTCCAAAGCCAAATCAAGGGGCTTCCTGCAGCAGGAGGAGGAGTGGCTGCTAAGCGGCCAAGACCAGAGAGTCTCCACTCAACCTGAACTGAGTTACAGCAGAGCCATTCAGCTGGAGGCGCAGACAACACACCTTTAATCAAAATTACACCTTCTCAAGAGACTGAAAATGTGGTGAGAGGTGATCCAAGGGAGTGAGTGACATAACTCTCTTGAAGGATCAGATAAGCAAGGCTGGCGTTGAAATCGGAGGAGCTTCTGGATATCTATATTGTCCCCGAGTGCATGTCGGGGAATGTAGGTGCATTGTTTGTGTGTTTGCTTTTTGTTACATGCATTCCTCTTTTCTTCCAGTGTCATTTTTAGGATATATAAGCAGTCCCCAACATTCCAAAGGATTCTGTGCTCAGAATTCAATTCTAGGTTAATATAGAAAGAGACATTTCTCTATAAATCTGGTAGTAAGGGTTTTGTGTGCTAGTCTTGGAGCCAATTTGATCTATAATGTATCTTAGCTCTAATGCCAGCCTGAGTTTTAGTCTCCAAAACGTGAAAGTTAGCTTATTTTGGTCCCTTCCCATCTTCCTTTCTGAGTGCCTTACTCATCTCCAAGTGTCTTTTTATCCAAGTGCTTACGTGCTTCCCTTTTTCTGTTTCAATTCCCCAGCACGCTGTGTATTCCAAAAGAGCCTGCCTTCCACCCATTCCCTTAAAAATCTTAACTCCTTGCAACTCCTCTACATTTGGTATAAAGAGGAAATTATTTGCATTGAAATAAATTATATTAAAATAGGAATTCCCCGCTCCTCTTAGCATTTAGTATCTGAGGAATTTGAGGTGCTGATATGAATTAATTTTTTGGAATTCAGTTATGAATGGCTTTGGGCCAGGTCAAGCCTTTGGGAGTTTTGAAGCCCTGGTAGGATCAAATGAGTGTTTCTGAAAAGTACCTGTAGTAGAAAACCTGTATTAATAATCAAGTGAGTGTTACTACTAGTCAAGTGATCCATGAGTCCCAAACCTTCCTGATGTCCCCCTGTTCACTCATCCACCCTCCCACCCCTGGCCCAATTAACTGCTTCCTGAAATCAGCATTATTATACACTTCTTGTGTCCTTCATCATGCATGTCCTACGACAGGAATGTGTGCTACTGGGCAGCAGGCAGCCGGCCAGCTCATTCATCTGCCGTCACCAGCACCTCTTGTGATACGTGACATGTAGCAGGCCCACATAAACATGCAGGAAAGAAAGGAAATAAAATGTGCGCTTGCCATATCGGAAACACTATATATACTAGGAACTTTCAAACATACTGTGTCTTTCATTCATTGTGAAAATCCTTTGTGGTGGGTAGTGTTAGCCCCGCTCATCAGGTTAAGAAAACCACTAGTACTGGACTCAGAAAGGTCGAGTGATCTTTACAAGGTTACATATCTAGTAGGTGGCAATGCCAGGATTTCAGGCAAGTACACAGATTTGAAAGTCTTTCCATGACTTGTTAACCATAAAGATTCTCTCATTTGGAAATTTCAGGAAACAGCCGAAATAGAAACAGTTCAGGCAGAGTTGGGAAGATACTTGTGTACGGGACCCAGTGGTAAGCAAGCCAGCCCTGTTTCAGAATCTGGTTTTCCTGGGGGATTTCCTCCAAGCCTTTTCTGCCACTCATAAAGGGGACTTTTCTTCCCATCTCACCCACTTTTCTTTTAAGAGTGCAGAGGTTTTTCCACCATGACTGGTAGCAGGAGCACTTGCACTGATGAGTCAGGTAGAGATGAGCAAAGGGAAAGGTACAGGCCGTGGGTACAGTGGCAATGTGTATACATAGAGCTTTTAAACTTATGCACTGTCTTCTGTAAGTCAGAGGCTGATTATTCATAATTAAAACATAGGTGAGAAACGGAGTGTGATAAGCCGGCAGATTTATGGAAGAGAAGGTACATCCAGTAACAAAGCTGGCCTCGTCTGACGGCAGAAGAGCAGAAAAGGCAGTGGGTTTTGAGAATTCAGCCTGCACACCCACCAGCCACACAGGGTTTTGCTGGGTTATTTCATGACATTTCGCAGTGTGGGTTTCTCCCCACTTTTGCCTGCATTTTTAACATAGCATTTTATATTTTTAGTTGTTAAGTTCCATTAAAACACAGAAGTTCAAAATGTTACTTGTTTGCAGCTCTACCAGGAAAGGAGCCATTGTTTTTCAGTTTTAGTAATTGAATTAAAGATAAAAGCAAAGGCCTCAACCTGTGAGGGGTCTGCCCTGCCCTGTGCTCTCTGTCCTGTTGCTCCAGGCATGAGAGTGTTGGGCTACTGGAGAGGTGGAAGAGGTCACGCTCCTCTTACAGTGCTTGAGTGTAGCCCCCAGGGCCCTCAGGCCTCTATCCTCTTTCCAGCCTCATCGCCTGCCTTCCCTACTCACCTGCCTTCCCCTATGTGTGTCTTTCCTTTGCTCCAGCCCGCCACTGTGTCTTGTCCCTATGATGTTGGACATACTGCTCCTGTCCTTGAAGTGCCCTTCACCCTTCTTTCCTGACTCCTCCCATGTTCTTTTTTTTTTTTTTGATGGTTAATCCTCACCTGAGAATATTTTTTTCCATTGATTTTTAGTGGGAGGGAGGCGAGGGATAAGGCAGGAAAGAGAGAGAGAATCATTGATGTGAGACACATGGATTGGTTACCTCCCCCACATGCCCCAACTGGGACCAGGGAACAAACCTGCAACCAAGGTACATGCCTTTGACCAGAAATTAAACCTGACACCCTTCAGTGCGTGGGCCAACGCTTTAACCATTGGGAATACCGGCCAGGGCTCCTCCCATGTTC